CTGCTCCCCCGAGCACTGTAGCTAGGAAAATGTAAAATTGGTTTATTTTGAATAGATTAAAAAAAGTCCCAAAACCAATCATGGCTTTGAATTCTTGATAAGATGATTTTTTTAAAAAATATCCTATATTTTTTAGTAAAACTTTGGTCGGCCATTGTGGCCCCGCCCTCCCCCCAGGGGTCATGTTTTGAGAAATTAATCAAACTACCTGAAGATGCTTACATATAAATATATCAATTATGTTTCATCTTTCCTTGCCCAGTGGTTCTTGAGAAGAAGATTTTTAAAGATTTTTCCTATATATTCCTATGTAAATCTTTGATCGGCCATTTTGGCCCCATCCTACCCCCGGGGGTCATGATTTGAACAAACTTGAATCTACAGTACCTGAGAATTATTCCACATGAGTTTCATCTTTCCTGATCCCGAGGTTCTTGAGAAGAAGATTTTTTAAAAAGGGTTTCCTATATATTCCTATGTAAAACTTTGATCGGCCATTTTGGCCCCACCCTACCCCCAGGGGTCATGATTTGAACAAATTTGAATCTACACTACCTGAGGATGATTCCACATGAGTTCATCTTTCCTGGACCAGTGGTTCTAGAGAAGAAGATTTTTAAAAGGTTTCCTATATATTCCTATATAAAACTTTGATCGGCCATTTTGTCCCCAATTCCTACCCCCGGGGGTCATGATTTGAACAAATTTGAATCTACACTACCTGAGGATGATTCCACCTGAGTTTCATCTTTCCTGGCCCAGTGGTTCTTGAGAAGAAGATTTTTAAAGATTTTTCCTATATACTCCTAAGTAAATCTTTGATCGGCCATTTTGGCCCCACCCTACCCCCAGGGGTCATGATTTGAACAAACTTGAATCTACACTACCTGAGGATGATTCCACCTGAGTTTCATCTTTCCTGGCCCAGTGGTTCTTGAGAAGAAGATTTTTAAACATTTTTCTTATATATTCCTATGTAAAACTTTGATCGGCCATTTTAGCCCCACCCTACCCCCGGGGGTTATGATTTGAACAAACTTGAATCTACACTACCTGAGGATTATTCCACATGAGTTTCATCTTTCCTGGCGCAGTGGTTCTTGAGAAGAAGATTTTTTAAAATGCCATTAATTTTTCTCTAATTCATAATTATCTCCCCTTGGAAAAGGGTGTGGCCCTTCATTTGAACAAACTTGAAACCCCTACACCTAAGGATACTTTGTGGCAAGTTTGGTTGAAGTTGGCCCAGTGGTTCTTGAGAAGAAGATGATAATGTGAAAAGTTAACGACAACAACGACGACGACGACACCAACGACAACGACAGACAACGGACAAATTTTGATCAGAAAAGCTCACTTGAGCCTTTGGCTCAGGTGAGCTAAAAATGTGCATTATCATCTACACTGACAAACCTTTGTTTGCCTTATATGGCTATTGATATAAATTCGCACAGGGGATCTCACCACGAGCAACTGACCATTCGTTGAATGATTAGCAACGTTTACGCCAAATACATGTTTACAATTTACTTCCAACACGTAGTTCAGGTCAATCTATGATCATGTTAATGGGCTGCAATATAAAAGAAATGAACAAAATACAAAGATAAAAAAAACTATGAAAGATATTACGGGCGTTTTTAATTTGTTGTTAAATGGAAAAAAAAGTTAAATAGAATGTAGTTTGTGTCTAGTTCAGAACACAAGCGCTTCAAGGGTAAGGAAAACGAGCAGCATCTCCTACGCATTTAAATGGACAAAACGTTGTTTACGTTCGTGATCAGGTGTTCGGCTAGGGAATTCACCTGGCAATTGTATTCACCGAAAGTACAACGAGGGAATTACTTTTGCAGTATGACTTCAGAAACCTAGACTTCCGCCGTTTATTTAACAAATGAATTGTTTGTTATTATAAGCATGAAAATAATATTTTTAAAAATGCTTTTCATTTACCATAAGATTTTCCTTTTTTTCAAGCGTAAAATTCCTGTAGTATTCGTAGTAACCCATAATGCAATACTCATTCAGCTGATTGGTCAGTTAAAATCGTGCTGGTGCCTCATTTGCTAATATGACGCCAAAAAATATAGTCCGGGTTCCCATGAAAAAGTATTTGTCCAAAAAGAAATTTGAATTCATGACTGCAGAAAATTGTATTATAGCGAATACTTATTTAAGTTTGAATGAATGTAAAAGAGATCGATTGACTGAAGTACATTTCAACAGACATTATCAGCTGATTCTAGGGTGGTGAAAACTGAAACGCGACATAACTTTTCTGTTTACAAAAAAGAATGGCTGCATGCAATAAATGAAGAAAATTTTGTCGGCATTACTTATTTGGATTTTAGCAAAGCATTTGCTCTAAGACTTGTTAATCATGATATACTAATCAGAACACTACAACGCATTTTTATGGTAACGATATTTCATGCAATGAAACAACTTATAATCATGACCTCTATCAAATACAACTAAATCATACTACAGAGCTATCATCGCCAAAAATACAAATTGGATTTTAACTTCATTTACACGTTTTGTTTTGTTTTTTTTTTTTTTTTTTGAAAAATGAAGTTTTATGGTCTCTGGTTCTTCTCTCCATTTTTTGTACGAATATCATTTGTGTCTTTCATTAAATGTTTTAAAAAACATATATAGAGTTTAAAAATCAATGAGGGTTGGGATAGCATTTTTAAAAAAAGTTTTGTTTAAAAATTTTACACTTTATAACAAATGAATCATCTATACTATTTTCAAGTAATTTTTCAGCACATCAAAACAAATATCGGTCTAACAGTATAAGTACCGGTATTGATCGAGAATTATTCCAGAAGTTTGAAATTATTTTGTGACCATACGCGCGGGGGTATTTTACGTAGTTCTTAGTTTACCGCTTAAGTAGTGCAAATTTCCTCCGCGTAAATAACCACTTTTACAGTCTATGATTACATGTAACTCCAGAAATAATGCTATAGGAATTTACGAGATCAAATTCATGAACAGGAAGACATGGGGGAAGAAAGTCACATTTTTAATAAATTATGCAAAATTTACATATTATAAGGAAGTAATTGAAAATAAATCTACTTCCAGGGAATGTGGGGTTACTTAAATCCGCTGGCCTTAAAATCAGACAAATTCGTCTCCTTTCAATATAATATTTTAATAGTTTATATCGCGATAATTTACAGGATATTGCATTTACTTCTAATGAGCATTTTGCCAAATTCTAAAAAAATTACATAATCTTTTGTTTACTTCTTTTGAATCAGAAAAATTGAAAAGATACAACATAGTAATCTTCACAAAAATGCAATAAACACACAAAAGATAATAAGGGTATACTTAAATGCAATTACAAGTACAGGTGTATATTAAAGCATCGCTTCATTGGAAGTATTGATTTCGCTCTCGGTGCAACAGAACCAGTTTTTACCCATTTTAAAATAAGTCAGTACAACAAAACTAAACTGTGAAACGAATCGATTGTTTGCACAAAAAAAATGTCCTCCGAAACTCACTAGAAAACTTCGATATTAGTCCTGCGAGAGAAAACACTTAATTCGTCGGTTGAGAATGTTTTGTTCAAGTAATCAGAGTCATGAAACTGAAAATGGCTCATGTTTCCAGAACTGTAATGTTCACCTTTTTAATCATCCTAAAGAGAAAGGACGACTAGTTATACCAGTATTTATCAATATCATCGCCATTGTTAAGTTAAATATGTGCCGAGCTGTTTATTTTGACAAGATACAACTAAAGCTTATCGTTATCACATAAATTGGTGTTAGCGCTATAGTTAAGTAGCAGTTGTACCGTGCTGTCGTATCCCTTTTGACGAGCTAAATAAGAGGACTTGTTCCATTTCATGTCTGCACCTTTATCCAGTAACAGTTGTACCGTGCTATTATGTTCATTTAGACAAGCAATCCACAAAGCGCTTGCTCCACTTTTGTCACACAAATTGATATTTGCGCCGTTTTTAAGCAACAGTTGTACCGTGCTAATATATCCATAATAGCAAGCAACGTGGAGAGGAGTGACTCCATAATTATTACATAAATTGATGTCGGCACCATTGCTCAGTAACAGTTGTACTCTGTCATCATGTCCATCTTGACAAGCTAAATACAGAGGACTGACTCCATCATTGTCACTTAAATTAAGATTGGCACCGTTGTTTGCTAGCAGTTGTACCATGCCATCGTGCCCATTGTAACAAGCCATATAAAGGGGACTGGGTCCATTATCAAAACATAAATTGATATCGGCACCTTTATTTAGTAATAACTGCACCATGCTTTCATGCTCATTTAGACAAGCCATATAGAATGGACTTGCTCCTTTCTTGTTACATAAATTGATGTCGGCACCGTTGTTCAGTAGCAGTTGTACCGTGCTATCATGTCTATTCTGACAAGCTACATACAGAGGACTTGTTCCATTCTTGTTACATAAATTGATTTCGGCATCGTTGTTCAGTAACAATTGTAATAATGCTATCATATCCATCGTGAGAAGCTGCATGTAGGGGACTGAGGCCATCACAATCACATAAATTGATGTCAGCATCCTTGTTTAGTAATAGCTGTACCATGTTAACATGCTCATTGTAACAAGCTGTAAAAAGAGGGCTGGTTCCTTCATTATCACATAAATTTATGTCAGCACCGTTGTTCAGTAAAAGTATTACAGTGCTGTCATGTCCATTTTGACAAGCTATATTAAGAGGGCTAACTCTATTCTTGTTACATAAATTGATGTCGGCCCCGCCTTTCAGTAACAATTGTGCTGTGCCAGCATGTCCATTTTCACAAAGCTATATTAAAGAGGGCTAACTCCATTCTCGTTACATAAATTGATGTCGGCCCCGCCTTTCAGTAACAGTTGAACAATGCTATCATATCCTTTTTGACAAGCTTTATAAAGAGGACTGACTCCTTTATTGTTACATAAATTGATGTCGGCACCGTTGCTCAGTAACAGTTGTGCCGTACTAGCATGTCCATTTTGACAAGCTTTATAAAGAGGACTGAATCCATTCTTGTTACTTAGATTGATGTCGGAGCCGTTGTTCAGTAACAGTTGTACCGAGCTATCATTCCCAAATTCACAAGCTCCATGAAGAGGGCTTGATCCATTCTTATTACACAGATTGATGTCGGCACCGTTGTTTAATAGGCAAAGAATGGTTTTATTACGTCTCTCTCCCTCATTCGTACCAAGTCCAGTCTCTCTCAAATGTTCGTCGTCATTTGAAGCAGCTAATATTAATGGAGTCCAGCTCCCATGAGGTGTAAAGTTGTTGACATTAGCAGCAAACTTTACTAATTCTCGAATCATTGAAAAATTATGGAATACAGAAGCAATGTGAATTGGTAAATAACCACCACCCCACTTTTCCATTATTGATGTTTTTATCAATTCCTCGCTTAGATAATTTATTAGGTTTAAATCGCTATTTGCACACAAAGCGGAAAATATAGGATATTCCTTCAACTGCGTTTCAGAGATACTTTTTAAGAAAAAGGAAGAAATATCATTATGACAAAAAATAATGAATCCGACCAAGGGGCATATTTCATCTTTCCAATTAAGGAAACGAATTTTTGATAAACCAGCGGCGCCTTCAAATGCTTTTGGAAATTCCGATCTGTCTATTTTCCATTTTATTCTGACAAGTAGTTTTTCAAGGGAATCTACTTTTTCTTTAAAGGTTTTTATGACAATCTCTTTCCTTAAACATGGATTGAGTAGAACATCTACAAGGCGTTCTGTTTGCATGTCAATGATAAACCTGTCCACAAGATCACCAATATACTCTTCAGGCAGGTAAACAGTAAAGGGGTCGCGATCTTCTTCTTCTGTCTGTATCGTCTTCATCCTCACTCGGCGTCGTAGAAAACCACTATCTGCGTACTGCATGGTCCCTTGTGGACAATGAACACGGCAAACACCAAAGTCGTTATCTCCATAATAAAGTCATGAAGGAATTGGAAGCCATGTCCGACACGTTTAACATAAGATCCTTTCAATTCATTTAGAGTGCAGCGAATGACTGAAATATGTGTGTTTTCCTGGTAACTCACACATTCCTAAAATTTCTTTATATTTCATCATGGAAATATCGCTTCTTACAATGGAATCTACATTCAAATTGTTTTTAAAAGCTACAATCAATATAAGAGAGCAGAATTTCTTTTTGTCTGTTTCTTCCAAATTTCAATTTCCCGTTTAATAAATTTGTATGGATTTTTAAATAAATCAACTCCTTTTTCTTTGTAGTTTGCCTCCCTTGAAAAAAGCTTACAAAGCAATGGAAAGTAAGCATCTGTTTTGAGTATTTCAGTTTCAATACTTTGGGTTAATTTCATATTCTGTGAATACTGGTAAAAAATTGCTCTTTTCTCTTCAACCGTGAGCCCCATTTTCTTTGTTGTCAATTTCTACTGCAGTAGATTCATCCACTAGGATATCCTTGACTCTCTTGTCATAAAAGACGCATCGTCTACATGAAATCAATAATTTATTTCTCTTCAAGCACATCTCCAGCATTTCCTCAAAACTTTTCCATGAATGATATGAAATTTCATCCAAAGATTCCTTGCCTAAAGGATCATTGAAAACGAATAAAAACCGAGTTTCTGAGACTCCATTTGAACAGATCGTTTTTATTTCTTCCACCTTATTCACAGGTATGACATTCCATCCACGCTCTTCATACTTGAGAGCAATATGTTGAATTATTGCAGATTTTCCGGAACCAGAATTACCAACCAGCGCGATTAGGTTCTGACTTTTAAGCTTTTCCTCAACCACTTCACTTGCTCTTGTAGGAATGAAGGCAGTGTCTTCTTCTTGCCAATTCTGGAGAATGTCTTTTACCAGTGTATTTTCTGTAACAAATATGTCATTTCAAATAAAGTGTAAAAATGTGAAATGTTATTATCAAAATTATATTTTTCTTTAAAGCTTTAAATCTTTTAAAACTAAATGTATTCTATTTACTTCTTTTCATTTTAGTTTTGAAACATATATATTGTTGCAATCTTAATTTAAATGCATTTATCAAATTTATGTTAACTTGTAATACAAACTTCCGCCATATATCGTACATAGTATTTATCTGAATAACAGTAGGCATAATATTAACCTTTGTTTTCCGATTTTAATTTCGACTCTAACAAATCCTGCTCCAAGGAAGACATCTTTTCCATTAAACATTGGTTATTCTTATAATCTTCTCTAAGTTTTTCTATGACTGTTGTTTCGTTTTCCTCTTCCAAGGTCTGTCTTTGAATGTTACTAAGGCCAGTCATGTAGTCTTTCTTTGTGCACGTTTGCAATCTTTGGCAGATATCTGTTATGACTGACCACGTGTTATCAAAATCTGTCTTTGAGGTAGAAGCCGAGCTTATGTGTCCAAACATGCTGTTTCGTATTAATCTGATCTTGACGTCATCACCGGTCGTTATTTGTCCGATTGCCGGCATCGTGTTTCCACCCCAACCTTTTGTTGGACGAGGAATCTTTGTACATATGTTTCTTATCAGTGTATATAACAATGTAATATCAAATTGTTTATAACCATCTGTTTTGGCACCTATAAGACGAAGTTCTTGCTCGGGGCGTATGTTTTTATAAACCGATGATGATTTTACTTTGTTGTAGACAAGGCCAGGAGGTACCTCCATTTCTAAGACGTCTCTACAGGCCTGGGTTAATTCTTCGTTTATTGCCATTCCGAGTTTGGCAAACCTGGAACGGTCATCAGCGTTTGGTCCAGAAGTCATTCTTTGGTGTGATTTTTTTACAGATAAAAACACTCTGAAATGAAAATGCAATATTTAATCGACGTTACTGTAATTAATGTCTAACATACTAACTAATATTATTAAGTGATATTTTTTAAAGTATTTATTTATGCATTTATTTATTATATTTAGATCTTACCACCTTTCTGTGGAAAGACCTCTTGAAATGCTTATATTTATTATAGAAAGTGTTGCTAGAATCCCGAGGTGAGCATGCTTTCACGAAAAAATTCGGGTCATATTTATAAAATTCAAAACACTGATTAAGGCTTCGTGCGAATGAGTGGAATAATTACTTTACAGTTTTATATTTAATACAGTGGGATTCTAACAACACTTTTTATGCATAATAGGTGTTCTTGGACTACTATATTCTTTACTCTAAGTTATCACACTCCGGAAGCTGTTGTTCTGTTATCTTTTTTTTACTAAGGAACAGTTTGCTATTAATAGAAGTCATGTGATGCCGTGGTTATGATGCATGTCGTTGCTTTAGACACTCTTTTATCTTTATGCAATATACATAATAATAGTTTACGTTAATTAATAAGCAGTTTTGGTAAATTATCAAACTTAATTTTCTTTAAAAAGTCTAAATTTGGGGAGAAATGATTTATATGCTTTCTTAATATACCTGCATTGCTATATAATTGAAATACTTGATCCTTTATATTTAGAAAATGGAAAGAATAACGACGAGCCTATTTTGATAAAACATTTGCTTGAGGGAGAGAAGGGAATTATGGAATGGGCTAGGGAAAATGATATTTGGTTTTACACTGTGGATTCAGAGATTCATAAAATGTCATTAAATCAGTTGGGTTACATTCCGAGTCTCCAAAAAAATCGAGAACAAGAAATTTGAAATATAAATATTGATAATAATGGGAACAAGATATAAAGGCATGATGAGCCCCTCTATATATTCGAAATTGGTTTATATGAATTTCAAGCAATAAATATCTTGGTACGATTGATTACTTTATCTTTTTGATTTTATAATTCCTATAACTAAGAAACATGAAGAATAATGATTTTGTTTTTGAGTAATTTAAATTCCAGTCATTTTTGTCTCCCGCTTGAAAATTGGGGGATAATAATTTGGGTATGTCCGTCCGTCATTCTGTCTGTCTGTAATGCTTTCGTTTCCACCGGATATCTCGAGAACCCTTTGAGCTTTCGCAATGAAATTTTGCATAGCAACTACCTATGGACTAAAGAAGAATCCTATTGATTTTGAGGTCAAAAGGTCAAAGGTCAAGGTCATAAATTTGCAAATTCTGTCTTTATAACACTTTCGTTTCCGCACGATATCTCGAGAACCCTTTGAGCTTTTGCAATGTAATTTTACATAATAACTCCCTGTGGCTTAAGGAAGACCCCTATTAATTTTGAGGTCAAGAGGTCAAAGTTCAAGGTCATAAATGTATACATTCTGTTTGTGTGTAACACTATCTTTTTCGGGTGATATTTCAAGAGGATTTTGAGCCTTTGCAATGTAATTTTACACCAAAAGTCCCTAGGATCTCTCTCATCCCTCTCAAAGTGTCCAGCCCCGTTTGTTTTAGTATTTATTGTTATTACATCTCGCTATTTTAGCACAGGGGCATGAAGGATTCTCTGAATTAGCTTGTTATTTTTGAAAATTTAGTACACTTTACTTTCTGGGGCTGATAAAGGCAAGATAAATATTATTTTTAGGAAAATAATGTTCTAACCTTAGAATGTGAAGCAACTTTTAATTTCTTTAATGCAAAAGAATTAGATACCAATAAGGGCGAAACGATTACACGTGTAAACGGCGACGTTTCGATTATATGCTCTAAACGTTTACAGTTTGAGTAAACGTTTACACGAAGGTCATTATCAATGTCTATCAGAAATAAAGTTTAACAAAAACAAATTGTTTCATTTCATAATTTACAAAAGAAACACCGTCTTTGACCATTTAATAAGCAACAATCTAAACCGGAATCATATTGAATGAAAATATATAAAACCCGATACGGGCTAACATAATTAATTCCGATTTCCGAGTTGCTAATACTAGCGATGTTTTACGACACTTGAAATATAAAACTTGATATATTTCGATTAAATAAATATAATACATTTTTCACGTCTTTGAAAAGTTTCAATACAGTCAGCAGGTCTTGTTGTACTTTTTTCGAGATTAAAAGATCCATCTTTACAATTATTTTTTCTACGTCCGGTAGCCAAACAAACCAAGCAGTTGGGTGACGAGGTCGGAAGTGAATGAGTATAATGCGCCTCAAATTCTTACAGTTAAATCACAATGACCAACAATAAATTTGTAATAACAACTCATACTTATATAAAAGTGAAAGAATTGATTATTAAATTCGAGTTTCATGAGTAAGTATCCATAAAAATCCAACATAGAATATCTCCCGTTTAAACGGTACCGTTTCGTTTACTGCTATCCGTTTAAACGTTTACAAAATTCAGTAGACGTTTCACCCTTAGATACCAATAGACTGTTTTTGAAAAAAATAGATATGTTTTCATCTACCCCATGACCCCATGACATTGTTAGCGAACAAGAACTCTGCTTAAAGCTTCCTCACAATTACATGTCGCAAAAGAGCTAGACCAGCCCATTGTCATTATGTATTTTTTTATTCAATTCGAAGACAAAAATAATATTTGAGTAATAATGTAGGTAATAGATGTACTAATTGTTAGTCTATTATTTAAACAATGAATCGATGACGAATTTTTCTGTTATTTTCCGGTAATATCAGGGAGCACACGGTGGGTTTAACTGGTCGGCAGGGCAGGGGATGCTCACTTCTCTATGGCACCTGATCCCACCTCTGATGTTTAGGAGGTCCGTGTTTGCTCTGCTCCTAATTTGTATTGTTTTATGGACTTTTGATCTTGATTAATTGTTCGTTATCTCCTTATGGTTCATGTTCAGTGTATCATTTTATTTCCGGGGGGGGGGGGTTAATATTTATGGGTAAGCAAAATTGTATTGGTTCTTGAGGGCGTAATTTCATGGGTCCCTCGATATAAAGAAGATTCACATAAAATATATGTGACATACAAAATGTTTTTTTCATGGATTAATGAGACCAATAAAATATCAGAACACTGCTTTGCAATGCACCATGATACTTCAACAGTATTTGTAATGTATACTAATAATTAGAAAGACTAAAACATATTCGAGTCAACAGTATAAAAACAGTCCAATTATTTTGAAAAGTAATTTCTTTGAATGTATTTTTTAACATGGTTTAAAATTTTTTTTTCTATTTCAGACATTTTTTATGCGCCTGGATTGATGGATCCGGGGCGTATATTGTTTTTGTTCTGTCTGTTTGTTTGTCTGTTTTATTGTTTGTCTGTTTGTCTGCAAACTTTAACATTCGCCATAACTTTTGAACCATGAAGGATAGAGACTTCATATGTAGTACGCATGCTCCACTAATTAAGCTCTTTCAAATTACACCAAGGTCAATGGCCGTGTGACTTTGACTGTGTCCTATATGCTAAAAATAACTTTTATCTGCAAACTTTAACCTTCGCCATAACTTTTAAACCATGAAAGATAGAGACTTACTATTTAATATGCGTTCTCCACTAATTAAGCTCTATCATATGACCTCAAGGTCAAGACCTTGTTACCTTGACTGTGACCTGTATGCTAAAAATAGTTTTTGAACCTTCACCATAACTTTCGAATCATAGAAGATAGAAACAGCATATTTAGTTTGCAAACTCTTCTAATTAATCTCTTTCAAATGACACCAAGGTCAATGACTTGTGACCTTGACTGAATTTTCTGCTAAAAATAGTTTTTTTGTATAATTATTTGCCATAACTTTTGAACCACAAGAGATAGAGACTTGATATTTGGTATCCATACTTTACTAATCAATTTCTTTCAAATGACACCAAGGTCAATGACCTTGACTGTGACATATGCTAAAAATAGTTCTTTTAGAATTTTGTTGCCGCTGGGCGCATAGTGTTTCACAAACACATCTTGTTCTTTCATTTTTTTATTTTTATCACACACGGGTATTTTTCTGATTTTTCCTTATATATATTCTTCATTTGTATTGATTTTAAAGAAATGTATGATTTTGTATGATGAAAATAATGTCTCCATGCTTTTGTTTCTGTTTATCTTTTAAATGATGTTTTTATATAAAATAAAAAAAATCATTAAACCTAATTTTTTATTTTCCTATTTTTTTTTCAATGTCTGTTTTACAAAAGCAAATTATACAGATAGAAGACTTCTCAATATAATTTATGAATCAAAGACAGTAAATGAAATTAAAAAATATAGTTAATACTTTGGGTTATCATATTGGTTGATAATGACTTGATGTTAATAAAGGGGGTGTTATGTTATCAAAGTATGCCCACTAAAATAGCAGTTTTACAAGAAAAAATACAATTTTGTTATTTTCCCATATAAATGAAAATGAAGGGACCAATAAGTGTCTGTGTTACAATAGAGTAAACAACTGTAGACAGATATAAAGAGTTACACATTATTCAGCAGTTCTTGGATGATAAAAAAAATTACATAGCTCGATGATATGATTACATGTTGACACCTATTAGAGATTTTCAGACGTCTTGCAGGGAAACAAAGTATTGTACTTCTTTCTAAACTCTCTAAAAAAATTAAGAATACAAAATTGGGAAAAAAAGATTCAGAATTGGGAAAATATGGCTGATTTTTTGATTGGGAATGGGTCCTGTAAACGGACCCAAAAACAAGCCAGGAAAACCCCTGTTACATCTAACAACATCCCATAGAGGGTCACGTCAGAGGTCAAATTCGGAACAACTCTAGACATATTCGTGTCTATTACGTCAATAAATGTACACTGATTTTGCGAGCGACAATTTGATTGGCTGATAGAATTTGACCTCAGACGTGACCCTCTTTGGGATTTTGTTAGATGTTAGTGTAGCGAGTATGCGAGCGGATC